TATTCCTGGACCTTCAGTGGTTTCAGAGAGAAATTTTGCATTACAACCTTATTCAGGCAGAGTTATAGATCATCTTTGGGTCCCATCTTCTTTTGTCGATAAGCAATGCCTCCAACATAATCCAATGCTTTGCAGCTAATACAATGGCCACTGTGATGTTTCTGAGAACAGAATAAGCATGGATGGGAAATTAAGCAACTACCAAAAAGGAAATACTATTATTTTATAAGTACACCCAGGAGAATATAGCAAAAGTAGTTTGTTTTGTACATAAGGAGATTATTTCAGCCAAAGAAAAGCGCGTAACATTTTCTCATACTAGTTTTAGTTAGTTTATCTGATGGATCTTTATGTAAATAAAAGCATTATAACATTATTTCAAATCACATGCACTAACTGTTGAGCCATCATATTAAACCATTCTGTGGGCTTTGTCATCATTCAAAAACTGATAATGAGTATCACAACTTACATGCCATCATTACACCAAAATTTGCTGAAGCATATCCTGTACAAGGAACCTTTCCCTTGCATTGAATGTGTTTATAGAAATGACAGGCAGAAGATCTTGTAACTCATGTTACAAAGATCTCTATATTAAGTAGGACATACTTTTATGCTGCTACATTTCCTCATATGTATTTTAAGACTAAAAAGATATTCTAAGGCAGAACAGTAAAGACTTGACACACATCTCAGGAAGTTTCTTATTTCAGCAGACAACTTCAGAATGGAGGCCAGTTCCCTGAAAAAAGATAATGATAGGTAAATAAGTAAATATTAAAATGCATGATCCTTCGGGCGCCTGGGTGGCTCAGTCGTTAAGCATTTGCCTTCGGCTCAGGTCATGATCCCAGGTTCCTGGGATCGAGTCCCACATCGGGCTCCCTCTTCAGCGGGAAGCCTGCTTCTCCCTCTCCCACTCCCCTGCTTGTGTTCCCTTTCTCGCCGTCTCTCTCTCTGTCAAATAAATAAATAAATAAATAAAATCTTTAAAAAAAAATAAAAATAATTTTGAAGAGGGGCACCTGGCTGACTCAATCGGTAGAAAATGTGACTCTCAGTCATAGGGTTGTGAGTTTGAGCCCCACATTGGGGATAGAGATTAATTTAAAAAAAATTTTTTTGAAGAGTTTCAAGTGATCATAAAAAATGATCATGTTATTTCATTATTGAAAGTGTTGATTTTTATATCATGTTATATGTATATATAGTCAGAGAATATTATAAATATAAAAATACACAAATATATTTTCATATATATGCTCTTTCAGTTATATGTATTTTTAAAGCAATTTATATAAAAATACTGAATATAACTTAAAGTGTACTGAAACGATAAAAGAAGTTATCTACAATACCCACATCAGGCCGTCATTTATTTAATATTAGAATTGATGTAGGAAAAAACCTATACTTTAAGCTAGTCATTCATGTGCCAGTTCAATCAACATTGGATAACTAATTTTAAATATTGCCTGACAATGCAGGATATTGGAGGTGGTCTCCTGTGAGATATTGTCAAGTAATGAACTGCTCTAAAAATTCTAATCCTCTCACAAATTTTACATTAATCAACTTCATTTCCAGTTCAAAATTTTAACGTATTCTCACATATTTCTTCTGAAGCTTCAATCTCTACAAAATTCAGCTTAAATTAGAAGGAAAAGGTAAAAGTAAGGAGAAACAGCAACTGAATTTAATTTCGATGTTGGATAGAGCTGAAAACACATTTGCTTTTCTATTCTTATGTCAGCTCGAAAAGAAAACAGTTCTGATTTTAGCTAAATGAGGATTTTTTTTTTTTGTAACTCTACTTGGATCACATTGTAAAAACCTTAGAATTTTCACTCATTTCCCACAATATTACCATGTATTCTTTTGAGCCATTGGCAAAATGGATGCAGTTTATAAAGTCTTTGCTTTTGCATTGAGCTTTTGCCTGTCTCATATCTTTAGATAAATTTAAAAGCAAAAGCAATACCCACTGTGTTGAATATTTTTAATAGTATGGGTGAAATATGTAATTTGAAATTCCTAAGTTCAAAGTACATTTATCTACAGCTTGATTTTACACTTGAAACTTCCTGTGCTTCATAAGAGTTTGTAAAAAAAATAGGGGGGACATCTTTGTCCTGTCATTTATAGCAATTTTCCTTAGACTTGAGTGAAATATGTGGAAACTTTAAAGAAAAATCGAAATCCTGTGCCTCTTTTTGTTTTCTCACTCTTTTAATTGTAACACTTACCCAGGTATCAATTCTTTGTTATGCTCTTATACAAATATACTTTCAGAGCAAATTTTGAAGTAAGTACAAATTCACAAAATGAACACATTCATTTTAATAACATTAATTTGAAGGATGATGTTATTTTACCGAAGTTAAACCAGAATGTTGAGTTTAAGAACAAAGATGTAGCCACTGTTGTGTTTGTTTGTGTGTGTGTGTGTTTTGATTTTACTAATACTAATACACAGAGAGCCTATTTGCAAAAGGATATTTATGTAATTTAAAATATTTCAAAGCTTTTTTGTGTGTGGGTTGAAATATTAAAAAAAAATACAGGGGCGCCTGGGTGGCTCAGTTGGTTAAGCGACTGCCTTTGGCTCAGGTCATGATCCTCGAGTCCCGGGATCGGGTCCCACGTCGGGCTCCCTGCTCAGCGGGGGGTCTGCTTCTCCCTCTGACCCTCCCCCATCTCGTGCTCTCTCTCTCTGTCTCATTCTCTCTCTCAAATAAATAAATAAAATCTTTAAAAAAAATACAGAACACATTCTTACTGCAAATTTTGCAAGAATGTTGTGCTTATATGCAAATTTTGAAGCATAGCCTAAATGACTATGGACACTAAAAGCTTAACATTTTTTCTTTGGCTGGTTTGTTGACTGGAAGGAGCTTTTAAATGTAAAAATGTGGACTCTGAAATCAGAAGACCCTACCCAAATGAGTAGGAATAGGTTAAAACATTTTAGATCAGCATCTGAATAAAACATAGCATTTATAAGTCTATATATGCTATATAATTTAAATATAGTGTGTAATTATATTATTTATAAAATATATATTTGTAAGAATATACATATTCTTAGAGAATTATAAATAATGTAATATTTATATTATATATATACATTATTGGATACTTCATGGATTTCGAAGACTATGGTCATCTTCTTTTAATTCTTGGACTCCAGGGGCACCCGGGTGGCTCAGTCAGTTAAGCGTCTGCCTTCGGCTCAGGTCATGATCCTGGGGTCCTGGGATCAAGCCCTGCATCAGGTTCCTTGCTCAGTAGGCAGCCTCCTTCTCTCTCTCCCTCTGCTGCTTCCCCTGCTTGTTCTCTCTTTCTCTGTCAAATAAATAAATAAAATCTTTAAAAAAATAATTCTTGGACTCCAGTTTGAAAAACAGTGACCTACAGTATCACAGTGATAATTTATCTTCGGTTTGGTCCTCTCCCCTGTGTTATTTATGTGTATCTTATTACATGCTATAATATAATGAATTATAAATGTGTTGAAGAAATTAGCAGAAGTTCAAAACTCTTCTATATTACAAGATTTCAAATATATAGAATGAATGAGAGCAAGTCATTTGTCTGTGAATCTGAAAGGATAATTGGTGATTCTATCCAACATTTGGCTGAGTAATACTAAATAACTCATTGAAGGACAGCCTGTTAAAGTGAAATACTCTACTACACATATCTGAAACCATCTGGTATGCCAAAACTATCCTCTCTTTTCAAACAAAAAGGTTCAATGTTTTGTGAGTTCTTTTACTTTCTCTCTCACTGAATTCAGGTCACTGTTTTTTTTTTTATTCAGGATATTCAGGAGGGTTTCTGATTTGGCATTGATGAGCTCATTTATGTTTATTACAACAATTACTTAAAGTGAAACAAATATACTTAAGATCAATGCATTTCGTTTTATGAAAATTTTATCCCCAAAAGTGTATAAAAGACATAAATACAGATATTCAAATTAGTTGTATTTATGCATGCTCATGTATTTGAGGACTGTACTTAGACAATCTCTGTATTACATTGAGAAATAAGATGGATTGACAAAAGGACAAATGGAAGGGTAGATATGTGATCTATATATGAGATGAGTCAAATACAGTTGATCCTTGAATAACATGGGTTTAAACTTCATGGAGGTTAAATCTCACTTTTATGCATTGTTTTCATAAATACATAAACGTATGGTATCAATAAATACAATACAATTACTGTAAATGTGTTTTCTCCTACTTATGTTTACTTAATAACATTTTCTTTTATCTAGCTCACTTTACTGTAAGAATACAGTATATAAGGGGAGCCTGGGTTCTCAGTCAGTTGAGTGTCGAACTCTTGGTTTCGGCTTATGTCATGATCTCAGGGTCCTGGGACTGAGCCCTGCCTTGAGCTCACCCCTCAGCACGGAGTCAGCTTGGGATTCTCTCCTTCTCCCCACCCTCTTCTGCCCCCTCCTCTCTCATGCCCACTCTCTTTCTCTAAGATAAATAAATAAAATCTTAAAAGAAAGAATACAGGATATGATACATATAACATACAAAATACGTGTTAATTGACTTATTGTTTATATTATTGGTAAGGCTTCCAGTCAACAGCTATTCGTAGTTAAGTTTTGTTAGAGTTAAAAGATATACACAGATTTTCAACTGCACTGGGGTCAACAGCGCTAACCACTGCATTGTTCAAAGCTCAACTGTCGATTAAAAGGTAAATGATAGAATCTCTGGGATATATATGTATATATAAATGCTGAGTATGCATTTTTCTACTTTTTTGTGTCTTTAAAATGTTTATAATCAAAAAGTTAGTAAAAAAAAAAAAAGAAAAGAACAAGAAAGAAAAACAATGAAAAAGGAACCATAAGGTTTTTCTTGAACTTTTCTGATAAAAAATTATACTGCAAGTATTTTTAATATGGGACCATCTCTTTAATGGTGTTCTCTGTCTCTCTGTCTCTTTCTCTCTCCCCCTAAAAGCTGCATTCTGACTTAGATAAAGGAGAGGGCACTGTTAAATACACCCTCTCAGGAGATGGCGCTGGCACCGTTTTCACCATTGATGAAACAACAGGGGACATTCATGCAATAAGGAGCCTGGATAGAGAAGAAAAACCTTTCTACACACTCCGTGCTCAGGCTGTGGACATAGAAACCAGGAAGCCCCTGGAGCCTGAATCGGAATTCATCATCAAAGTACAGGATATTAATGATAATGAGCCAAAGTTTTTGGATGGACCCTACGTTGCTAGTGTCCCAGAAATGTCTCCTGTGGGTAAGTAGGCAAATCAAAATTTTGTCAGGTGCTATGGGGCCTTTTCAACATTTATTTTTTGCAGGTTGATGTAAACATCTTATCTGTAAACCAGATCATTCTTCCACTACAGAAGACACATTATTTTCATTGTTTTGTCCTTTCTGCTCCATTTTAAATATACAAATAGATACATACATATCTAGGATATATAACATTTGTTACTATTTTCCAGTCTTTGCATTTACCTGAACGCACAGAATTCCTTTGTAAATAAGTACAAAAATCAATTTGTACTAAAATTCATTGCCATTACAATTCCAGGTGCCTACATAGAGCTAAAGGTAACTACCATACCCACAAATACCAGATAGTAATTCTTGGCTCAAAGTAAAATGTAATTCTTGGCTCAAAAATACATCCAGAGCATGTATCGCATACAAGTCTGGAAGTGGTCCAGAAAGGAGTGTGTTGAATCCTTTGTAGCTATAGATAGAGATTCCTGAAGGATGATATTGTTTTCTTTTTTTTTTTTTTTAAGATTTTATTTATTTGCGAGAGAGACAATGAGAGACAGAGAGCATGAGAGGGAGGAGGGTCAGAGGGAGAAGCAGACTCCCCGCCGAGCAGGGAGCCTGATGTGGGACTCGATCCCGGGACTCCAGGATCATGACCTGAGCCGAAGGCAGTCGCCCAACCAACTGAGCCACCCAGGCGCCCCCCCCCCCTTTTTTTAAAGATTTTATTTATTTATTTAACAGAGAGAGAGCGAGAGCAGGAACACAAGCAGGGGGAGTGTGAGAGGGAGAAGCAGGCTTCCCGCTGAGCAGGGAGCCCGATGCGGGGCTCGATCCCAGGATCTTGGGATCATGACCTGAGCCGAAGGCAGACGCTCAACGACTGAGCCACCCAGGCGCCCCTTATTTTCTTTTTGATTACAAGTATGCCATACTAGTTATGCCATGGAATCAGGAGGCAAATATTATTGCGAACACGTTATTAGAATAAATTTACAATTAGCAATAATGTCACTACCATTCTTAAAACTTAAATTTGATATAAATTCACATGTCAATATCAACCTAAATTTAAAAGTTCTGTGATTATGTATTTTGAAGTCAATGAATTAAAGATAGCTTTCATGACAATTTTAAATAACTTTTATTCCAAAGTCACCACTGCCAAAGCCTTATTCTACTTCAAAGTAACTTCTGATGTCTAGCACATTTGTAAGATAAAGCTACCCATCACTCCGAGGTTACAACTTGAAACTCATATTGTGAGCCGTTGCTAATTTTCCTATCTGACATTCCTCAGAGAGCATCTGCTGACTCTACACCCATCCCAGACATGCATAAACTATACCGAGGGCAGGAGCAGGTTAGTGGCTTTAAGAGTTGCACATGGAATAACCCTAAGTTCACTTGAAATGGTCTTTGTGACCTTACCAGGTATTCAGAGATCATATTCTCTCCATGACCTGAGAAAGCTCAGAGTAGTTTGCTTAGATTTTAAACATTAGTGTAGAGACACAGGGCTGCTAATCTGTTATTCAATTCTTCCTACATTTTTTGAGCTGCTTTTTTTACATGGTGCTGATTGCTAGAGATTTAGAAGTATAATGGGGAAGAAGTATATCTTATTAAAAAGTAGCCCCTGAAAATGGGGAGAGCTAGTTTGTTAATTGTGCCTTGATTTTACTGGGAGAGAAAAATGAAGGTACTGTTTTGAGAGAAAGTAAGGCTTTTAAGAAGACAAGGCTCCTTTGTACCCAAATGGTTCAATCCAGGGCTTACTTCATGTAAATTGGAATATTTACATGAATTTATGACCCTCAGTGACTATTACAGAAACAACATCCTTAAAGCAGACATACACATCTCTCCACATTATTAGAAAATTCTGTCTTATTAGGTAAATAATTAGGTCTTTTGTTGTGCCAATTTGGATAAAGGGAAGGACTGCAAAGTCTGAACCCTTATAAAAAGGAGTTCACAGCTAGCGCCTGAAGAGAGAAATAAATCTGGAAAATCAGGGTAGGTAAGTGAGAAAACAAAGTGATCCCAGCTTTTGCAGTATTGGGGTGAGACATAATTTGCTGTACTGTCTTGAGGTATCAGAAAGATCTAGAGAAGAATGAGTTCTTTAAATGTTTTGCCATATGGTTAGTTATTCAAGAGACTCCACTAAATACTTAAACTGATTTTCAACACACCCTTCCTGCTTTTTTTTTTTTTTAAATAATAATAAAGGAGTATTTCTTTTGAACGTGATACCACATTGCATGCTATGGGTTCACCCAGGTATTATTGGACTACATTTACATAATATCCTTTTTTTCAAATATATCCTAAAAAATATAAACGCCACTTATGAATTAAATATTAGAAATTAAATATCTACCACCTACTACTTTTGCCATCCCCCATAATCCTGCCTCTACACAGAACCAAAAACACAGGATACCCAGTTAGGCTTGTGGCATGTGTTATTTCTGGTTTTACAACGAAAAACTACCGTGCATCCATCCAGGCATCATATTTATGTTCCTAAGCTCCTGAGCTCCATTCCCAAGCACACCCTCTTTACCATATGGAAATGGTCCCTGCTGGCAATCACTTAGTCCAATGATTACTCCTGTCTATCTTCTTCTCCCGCATCCCTTCTAAGCACTTCCTGCCTCTGTGTCATTTTCTTTGGAATATCAAAGTTACTTTTGGTGAAGACCAGATGGAGTTCACCATGGTGTATTAGACCATCTAGCTACTGTCACAGCACATCTCGCTGTCAGTTTTATAGATTTGTGTTTGAGCGTTCTCTAGGAAATAACTGCCCCTTCCCGATAATTGACAGTGTTATTGACAATGATGGAGAAGCAGCAACCAATTTACAAATACATGGTTTAAAATAGCTTACTTTGTAATACAAAAAAAACAAAACAAAACAAAACAAAACAAGAAATATTGGGACATCAAAACAATTTCTTTTGCAAGTGTCAAGTTAGCAATAATAGACTGTGTGTCCGAAAATGTGATTAACGATTAAGCATGGAACGGATGTTGAGCAAGGTCGGTAGAGATTTCAGAGGAAAATCAACATTTAAGACTTAGCAGACTATGGAATATATTTTGTTCCAAAAATTTGAAGAAAATTCTAGTGAATCTATGAATTGTTTAAGAGAAAGGTCACTTTGTTACTAACTTGTGCTGCATGCAATATGCCATGGAAGAAATATTCACAGATAAGGTGCTTTTACCCTGACCCGAGGAAATTACTTAATGATCCAGATATTCTCCAACTTAGACTTTCTCCTTGGGGACAAATTTGGACGTTATGAATGTGGCCTTAATTCTTTAAGATCACTACAGTAACAATGAATTACAATAACGATCTTCTTTAATACGGGTGGTTATGCATGGGTATGGCATGCAGTTGCAGTAACTTTTCCTAGAGAGCTGACAGGTGTAACACCTTTAAACCCTTATTCATACTTGTTCTATCTTCCTCTGCCTGAACTAAGCCAGTTTGAGGCAGCTGATTGGGTTATTCATAACTAGGTCTCTATGACACGTTTTATAAATGCCAATTGTGAATCATAATTTTTGTGGTAAGACCTACCGTTTCCAGAGCAATAGTTAGGGGCCAGGTGATCCACCTCAAGATTTGTATTCCCTGTTTTATTATTTAACCACTACAATAATTTTATGCAGTATTGTTTACTATCTGATCTTCATTTTTATATGAAAACTGAACTCTAATTCCAGCAAGTAGGTATAACTCCCAGTCTCTTTAGAACAAAGTTAATTGCAACCAGCTATACCCTTTAGTGGCTTCTAAAATGTCTTTGGGCCTTAAATTTAGCTTTCAATCTCAGATGAGCTGGTTAAGGCCTCGGAATGCTTACTTTTATTTTATTTTATTTTATTATAAACCTGAGGATGGGAAATCCTGTTTAAAATAAAATCTGAGGACTAGGTATCTCTTATTCACTGACTTAAAAGAAAAAAAAATAGTATAAGTGTAAATAAAATAATACACACCTAAAGAGAATTACACTGCTGGCTATTAAAAACTTAATATGCACACCCTTATTTTTTTTTCCATGAACTCTATTTTGTTTTATATGAAGTTTGGGGAAAAGTGTTAAGATGAAATTTTTGGTGGAGTTTTTTGAAGGTTTTTAAACAGAGAATATTTTCTACATGGCCATACATAAATAGTCCAACTCCACGAAGGAAATAGTGAAAATGATGACTATACCTAACATTAACTTATTACACCATTATTATAATTTAGAAACTTATACGAATTTCCAAACGTCCTTGCTTTCACGGAAGTGCCATAAGGCATATAGGGAGACAGATCAAGAAATTGCAAAGCAGATACATTATCTTACCATATGAGCTACCCATGGCCACAGAGAACAGCTTAAGTGGTATAGTAGGAACAGTCTCATTGGTCTCTGTCTGTGCCCTATAGGCAGAATTTTTGCCAGGAAGCTGGAGACAGAATGTTAGCTGTTTTCTACAAATAAAGATATTCTCTATGTATAACCAAAATGCGATTACTAAAATCAGGAAATTAACATTAATCCGTTATTGGGATCTAACTTTTAGACCCCATTCATGCTTTATCAGTTGTTTCCATAATATCTTACTAACACAATTTTCCAGGTGAAAATCACATGGTGCACTTAAATGCCATATCTCTTTAGTTTCCTTCAATCTGGAGTAATTCCTTACTTTTTCTTGATTTTGTGACAGGTTTGAGGATCCTTGGCCGGTGATTATTTAGAATGTCCTTCATACTGGGTTTGCCTGATGTTTCCTCATGTACAACTTCAGGATATGCTTCTTTGTTAGGTACATTACAGATATGATGCTGTAATCTCGTTGAGTCTTCTCAGGTAGAACAGGGTTTTGATTTGTCCCAATAGTAATAATGCTAATTTTTATTACTTGACCAGCATTGTGTATTAGTTACCTGTTGCTGCACAAGACATTAGCCAAAACCTAGCAGTG